CGGTTTTTTTTTTTTTTTTTTTTTTTTGATATCAGGAATCGAACTCAGGGCCTTGTGCTTGCCAGGCAGGTGCTGTGCTGCTGAGCTATATTCCCAGCCCTTTCTTTTTTCTTTGCAGTACTGGGGATTGAACTCTGGGCCTTTGTTCTAAGTTATGTCCTCTGCCCTTTTTTAAAAAAATTATTTTGAGACTTTGTCACTAAGTTGCCCAGGCTAGGTTCAAACTTGTGATCCTCCTGCCTTGGCTTCCAGTGCTGAGATTACAGGCATACACCACCACACCTGCTGCATCCTTTGTTTTTTGACTAAAGGAACCATCACTTGGTGCTACTGCCTCTGGACAGTGCTCCGCCTGGAACTCACCTGTTATGTTGCCAGGAGTGAAGTCTCGCTCCACTTGATGCTCCTGACTCCTGGACCTGGGTTCACTTTCCGTTCTGCCAGGTAACCTGTGACCCGGGAGCAGGCAGCAGGCAGACAGCAGTGGCCCTGCCTCTGCATCCTGTCCTGGCTGCCCTTCAGCACTCCACTTCCTGCCCCTGGCCAGCCTCTCTGCCCCTCCTGGGCAGCAGCCTTGTGGGGGAGGACAGAAGTCTTCCCCTAGAAAACGGAGGCCTCCAGGCGGGGATCTACCTCCTGAGCAGACACCCCTGGCCAGGCCACCCTAGGAAGGCCACTGGGACATGGTGCCTGCCTCCAAGGCCCCTCTCTAGAGCAGCCACGGTGTGGCCAGTCAGCAGGGCGCGCCCCCAGCGGTGGAGATCACCTGATGCTGGGCTTCAGCTGAGAGGTCCTACCCAGGAGCCGACATAGCAGCTATGGTCGAGCGTGGCCCTCCCAAGATTCAGGGGCCGCTGTGTGAGAGAAAGGGGAGGTGTGCCTTTTTTGAAGGGCATGCAGGCCCCCGCAGAGCTGGGTGTCAAGGTAGCGTGCCCCCTTGCTTCCTGCCAAACGAGGCGTGGCCCCAGGCCCTGCAGGACACCAGTGCCAGCTGCCCGCTGCGCTCCATCCCAGACTTCCAGCTCCCCGATGCCACCATGGTGCAAAGGACTGAAGCAGAGTGACGCAGTGGGTGACACAACTGAGGAACAGAAGCCATCCCAGCCGTGTCCTCAGCGGAACCACAGTCCTGAGCACCCAGTGAGTTTGGGGGAGGCTGAGACAGGAGGGCAGGAGCCAAGGCCAAGGGAGGTTTGAGAGGAAATACGGAGTGACGGGGCCAAGCAGAGTGGAGTCCAGGGGGCCTGGGCCACGGGGACTGAGAGAAGTGATGGCCACGTCTGCCACTACAGAGGTGGTTCTGAGAGGACAGCGAGAGGCAGCTCTGCCCAGTCTGGCGGGGTTGCACAGGGAGTCCCAAGGGACCAGGTTAGACATCCTTAGGGAAGCTGAGCATGGTGGCACACACCTGTGAGCCCAGCACTCAGGAAGCTGAGGCAGGAGGATCTTAAGTTGGAGGCCAGCCTGGGCTACATAGTTCAAGGCCTCAACCATAGAGCAAGACCCTGTGTTAAAAAAAAAAAAAATGAAGTCTTTGGGAAGAAGCCCTGGACAGCAAGGTGGCAGATGCTGTCGAGAGGCTCAGGTGCATTGGGAAGTGGGTGCCTGTCCAGTAAGGCCCACACCTGGGTTGCACACTGGGCAGCGAGTGCCCGAGATGCAGGGCTGCCACCTACCCCGTGTGTCACCCAGCTGTGGTGGCTCTGCCCAAGCCCACTTGAGCACATTCTCATCTCGTCCAACCTGGCACTGCCCTGCCTAGTGGTCCGAAACACAGCTGCTCCTGGGCAGCCCTATGGCGTCCTGAGGGCTGTGTACGAATTTCGAGCCAGCTCGTGTGTGTATGTGTGTATGAGACGCATGGTCAGTCCTCAGTGGTCAGGCTGGTTCTGGACTCACATTTAGAGGACATGGAAGCATAGATTTCAGCTCAAGGGTGGCGGTGCACAAGGCCCTGGCCCTGCTTCTGGCACCCGGGCTCTGAGCAAGTGCAGGCTGAGACTCCCAGGAAAGAGGGCTCAGGAATCCCATGTACCCAGCAGGAGATGCGCAGACCATGGCGTCCCCGTGGCCACAGGGACCCTGGGTCATGCTATCTTCTGAGTGTTGTACTGTGGCATGCAGCACTGCTGGCCTTGGAACACTGGGAAACAAGAGCTGTCAAGGTATACCTGGCTCTGGGGCGCAAGGGGTGACTGTCCCTACATGGAGGGGCTGTGTGTGCCAAGGCCCTTAATAGAACCCTCTTCACAACTCTGGCGCGAGGCTGTATTGGTCAGAAAAGCCTGTAAGGGCCAGGGATTTACCTCAGTGGCACTGAGTCTGCCTCACAAGCATAAGGTCCTGAGTTCGATTCCCCAGTACCAAAAAAAAAGCAAAGCCCTAGGCCAAGGTTAGGACAGTCCTCTGCAGAGGGTCCCTAAGCCATGGGGTTTCCCCTCAGGGTGTTGCTGAGCTTTTCTTTTTGGTAGGTCCTGGTCATGGGCCTTTTGGTCTAATGCTTCACAAGATTTAGGTTAAAAAAAATTTTTTTTTGGTACCAGGGATCAAACTCTGGACCTTGCACTGTAAGGCAGGCAGTGTAAATCCCTGGCCCCTAAGTTAAATATTTTTGGTAAGAATGTCTTTAAGTGGGGACAATGTGGCAGAGTTTACAGCCTAGACCCACCAGTTTTTTGGGGGTGGGGGGAGCTAGGACCCATTGTCCCTGGGAGAGATCAGGCCCCCACAACACAGCCAGTGTATGATAAACACAAAACCATGCATGATGTAACAGTCTTTATTCCTGGTTTGGTTACATCTTAATCTAACTCAGACCCTACTGCACACAGTGCTGGAAATCAAATTCTTGTCTTGCACAAGCCAGCCTGATGAAAACATACTGCAACACTGAGAACTTGGCTGCTCCCACTTCCTTCTGCCTGTAGAGCGGTACAGGGCACCATCCACATGCAGTGCCTAAATCCACAGCAGTGGTGGATGCAGGAGCCACAGCTCAAGGTCCTCCCTAGGAGCCTCCCTTCAGGCTCTTCTTAGCCTGAAAAACAAAGCATTTTGTCTGAATTACTTATTTCTAAGTTAGGTATTGCTCAAAAATAAACCTACCACACTAAATACCAAACACCTTACACACAACTTGGGTGCTGGTGTGTGACCAGGGACCAGGCTGGCCAGAGTCAGGGAGGTCCCCAGGGCTGGGTGTCTCTGACACCCACTGGGTCCCCCTCTGCTGCCAAGAGCATTGGAGCCTCTTCTCCCAGAAACTGGAGGTTCCAGATGTTGGAACTGTCTGCCCAGCAGACAGGGCTCATGGGATGAAGCATACCGCCTGGACAACCTCCTCAGGTAGTACTCCAGGAGCACCTTGAGTCCCGGGAAGGGAGGCTTGTCATCGAGAGGGTGTCTTGAGGGTCCCAGCTGAGCTCGGTCCATCTAACGATAGACTGGCCCCCGAGACCCTGGGCAGGGGCTCCAGAAAGTCTTTATTTGATACAGGTGAAGGAATATAAGTAGGCTTGAATCAGATGGCCAGAAAGCTAGCAGTTAACTTGTGCCTGGCCACAGAAAGGGTGATTTCCTCAGACACAAATACTCCTGTGAGCTGCTCAGAGCAAAGACCTTGCCTTTCCCCTCACAGAGGGTCGGCAGATGGGGAAGCTCCTGAAAGTCAGGAAGCAAGTCAAAAGGACCAAAACAGTGCTGCCTCAGATGAGGGATCCACCCCTGGGTGGGAGACTGGGCCACGACCACCACAAGGAAGGCATGCATCCTCCCAGCCTTCCAGAAAATGAGTACAAGACTGAAAGAAATACACATACCACATACTCTGCCATTCTGCTCAGGACATCAGTGCCCTGGTGCGCTAAGAAACCGCTTCGGTCACAGTCTCCTATTAGCTCTTGTCCAACCACCCTTCCCCAGTCCAGCTCTCATTAGCAGCTCCCTGGAAACAGGCACCCCACAGAATCAAGGTGCTCCAGGTGGGACCCAATGATGCTGACACTGTGGACACCAACTTCAGAAGGGCAGCCCGAAACCCTTGTGGTTAAAGCCTCATCAGTAAGGGCACTCCCTGCTGGTCCTGTTCTGGAACACTCATAATGGCCATCTCCTCAGCCTCCAAAAACCCTACTTTCTCCAGGGTCTTTACGCAGGTCTTCTTCCTTCACAATAAGTGGCCATTTGCACAAGCAGTATTTCGTTTATATTGGTGGCGCGGACCATAAGACAGAGGCCTGACAATACCGTGACTAAGAAACATAAAGGACTTGGTGGATGAGTCCGAGGCAGAAAGAATATGGAACCAAGTTGCTTTCATGAGAAACAGCTACATTTCTTTGTAGATTCTTTGGAGAAGTACGAACTCCCTTTCCTCTACGGAAGGGAGTGCCCGGCAAGTCAGGAGCCCAGCAGGTGCGAGGGTAACGCAGGGTAGCCCTTCCCGCTACATCACCGCCGCGCCTTCCTGAGGCTCGCGAGATGCTCGATTTACCGAGGCGGAGAGGAGGCTGTCTGTCGGGTGGGGCAGGCCTCAGGCCGGGGACGACCCTCGGGAAGGGCAGCGCCCACCTACCGCAGCGACGAAGCAGCTCCGCAGGGCCTCGAACTCTCGTGCGCAAAGGTCTTTGCTCAGGCGGCCGCCTGGCCGCCGGCCGCCAGGCGCTCCGGGAAAGCGCGGAAGCGATTCCGCACGCGCCGCCAAACCGCTCCGTTCGCGGACATGAGAGGATCTTCCTGGCTCCGGTGGAGGCCGCCATTTCAGGCCCGCCCTCTTCCGGCGTGCATTGCTTGGCCAGTCTGAGGTTCTGCCCATAATCCTTCCCATACCCCTGGTTGACGAGCATTTCCGGGGCCGCCAGGCGCTCCGGGAAAGCGCGGAAGCGATTCCGCACGCGCCGCCAAACCGCTCCGTTCGCGGACATGAGAGGATCTTCCTGGCTCCGGTGGAGGCCGCCATTTCAGGCCCGCCCTCTTCCGGCGTGCATTGCTTGGCCAGTCTGAGGTTCTGCCCATAATCCTTCCCATACCCCTGGTTGACGAGCATTTCCGGGCCTCTCTCCCTACAATTGGTTCTTATCCTTGTCTGTCTCTACCTTCGGACTTTGGAGGGATTCTAATGCAGATTATCACGAAGCCGACCTCAAGACCCGCCTCCCACTAGCGATTGGCTGTTGGAGCCAGAGTCGCACGGTGATTGGAGAGTCCGGGCCTGGCGGAAGCGGGGCAGGCCGGGAGGTCACCTGGACC